TTTTGTCTGTATCATATCTTTTGGTGTTACTGTGATGTCTAAAATGGTATTAATAGCATATCACCCAGAAACCCAACTAACATGTTCTTTTTAAGCCTACATAACATGGAAATGTAGCTAACATTCATTATTAAATCTTAATCACACTCATCTCCTTAGCTTGTCATTTACATGTTAATTACATCTACATTCATTATTCATTCATAGTATCACACACGGTTTGTTCTTTTGTTGGCAAATGTAGCACAAGCGCATCATCGCCCTCCAAGCATAAAATCACATCTCTAATAATAGTGCTACTTTTACCAATAGAGTATGCTATAAATACATACTGAATGCACAAAATAAAGACACAGGTCTGCTTGATCATCGTGCTGCCTCCTGGTGCCTGTTTGAACAATAACCAACTCCATTAAACATAGATTACGATGTCTAAAAATGGTATAGTCAAATAAAAACAGACCCTGTACAGAGTGAAGCAAAATTTAGTTGTCAGTTCACCTTTTATTGCTTATTCCTCTTCTGACGAATACACACACATATTTCAGTCATTTTACGGGAATGACAGCTGCACTGTACAACTGAATAAACTTCTTAAAAGTGCAGGTGACAGCCACATTTGAATGGAATCGTAATGTTTTGCTATTATTTTATTTACAGTTTGACTCTCCAAGTGTTATGTGAAAGATATCAGTGTCTTTTGGTTCATGCATTTAGTGTGCAAAATCACACATGGCCCATTTTAAAGACAGCAGCTTTAAGTTTGACTCAGAAGCTGAACCTCGGTAAAACTGATACTGTGAGATGCCAGACTACGTTTTTTTTTTTCATACACTAACATTAAAAACTGTACAATATATACAACAATTTAAAAATCACAAGACACTCATTCAGTTTTACCATGAAATGGAGTTCATCCACAGCTCACACAATATTCTTCTACTTTTAGCCATTTAACACAGTCAAGCAACTACCTTAAAAAAAGTAGGCATATGTTAACTGATAAAAATATTTTCACCCATTAAGAACAGCTAAACTCCTAAGGGTTAGATGACATATAACATTATATCATATGCATATGCAGAGTGTGAACGAGGAGGGTCTACTGTAGTGGGAGGATTCACAAACAGCTTGAGTGTTTTTAGCGGATAGTCTTCTTAGATCAGACACTGAATTGTTGAAGAAAATGTTTCACATGTTTGTGCTGGTGCCGTCATTTTGGTAAGATATAAAAAAAAAACATTATTTTTTTTTTAGTTGCTGCTATTGTTAAGAATTAGACTATTTTCATCTGCTACTACCTGTACCAAGTAAATCATTATTATTATTGTTACAGTTTTTTTACGATCGCTATGACAATTTTTTCAATACTTTTTAACAATTTCCTAAACTTTTAACACAGTTAGCACAACATCCGTCTGTGTAGGCTATACAATTAACAAATGTCTTGTTGCTTTGACACAAAATGCGTAGAGTTAACACAAATTGAAAATGCTTGAACTTCTTTTACACACAAGCTCAACCAAGACCAAAACAATGTAATTTTACTGGCAAATTTTCAAATGCTTTCACACTGTATGTCAGAACAGATCACATACTTTTCTAAAACTAACTTATAGGCTAAAGTCAAAGTGAACAGCTGTTCATATTTAATATAAACTAATTTTAATTTCTAATTAAAATTCTAATTGAAACACAAATACAGGTGCATCTCAATAAATTAGAATGTCGTGGAAAATACCACCTCAGCAGTGCCACAAACTGATCACCTCCATGCCACGCCGAATTGAGGAAGTAATTAAAGCAAAAGGAGCCCCTACCAAGTATTGATTGCATGTACAGTAAATTAACATACTTTCCATAAGGCCAAAAATTCACTAAAAATGTTTTTTATTGGTCTTATGAAGTATTCTAATTTGTTGAGATAGTGAATTGGTGGGTTTTTGTTAAATGTGAGCCAAAATCATCACAATTAAAAGAACCAAAGACTTAAACTACTTCAGTCTGTGTGCATTGCATTTATTTAATACACAAGTTTCACAATTTGAGTTGAATTACTGAAATAAATTTATTTTTCCACGTCATTCTAATTTATTGAGATGCACCTGTAAATCTCCTGTATGTTATTCCATTGCTAATGAGAAAGAGTTGTAATTTAAAATATATAAATTACAGCTTATTCCCATCTTGAAAACACACTCAGGTGTTGAGGTTCTTTCAATCGCATGACCATATGATAAACAGTAAAAGAGGACATGCTACGTGTACTGCATTAAGCTAACTGAGACTTGTTATAGCACTTGCATATCATTGCTCTTTTGTTGATTTTGATTGCTTCTATTGTCCTCACTTGTAAGTTGCTTTGGATCAAAGTGTCTGCTAAATGACTAAATGTAAATTTAAATGTAATGAAAAGTGCACTCCTGCATAAATGTGAGAGTTTAGAAGATCCGCACCAAAGACTGGTGCCAGAGAAAGGGGACAGGTAGGAGACCACTTGCCAATATATGTGATCACATGGAACAATGTGGCATGCCACCATTACCAGTGCAGCCAGAGCCTGGTTTGACAACCATTCGAGAATGATGTCTCTTTTCCTTGCCCCTTACTCCCATTTCCTCAACCCCATTGAGGAGTTTTACTGAGCCTGGAGATGGAAGGTTTTTGACCATCGTCCCTCCAGATGTCCCTCCAAATGTCCCTCCAGGATGCAATGGATGCTGCATGCCAAGACATCACAGCTGAACAATACCAGGAAGGATAAGGTATACCAAAAGATTCTTCCCAAGATGCCTTGCCAGAGAAGATATCAGGTGTGATGTGGATGAGAACATGTGGCCAAATGCAGAAGACCAGGCAGATTAGATTACATTTATTACATTTACTTTTTCTGTTTGTATATTTTGTATTTTCACATAATAAATGACAGTTATATTGCACATATTTTTGTTTTTGTTTTCTTGCATTCTTGTTTTCTTTTTAGTTTTTTTCTAATGTTCTGTTGCAAATAAAGCCTTTACTGCAGCAATTCTGTCCAGTTTCTACCCCAGCATGGGGAGAAGCACTCTGGGGAGCGCTTTTAAGCCGGGCTGAACACCGAGCTCGGACCCCTCGCTCGGGAGTCTTGCCGACCTCGGGGCTCTCTCACTTGACAGCACGCCAAATATGCATAACCTCTATGTGTGAACTCGTGAAATGACTTCTGTTGTGATCTAGCACTATAGAGAAAATAAAAGTAAATAAAATTAACTTGACCTTCAAGGGGGCGGGGCGCCGCCTAATATAATGGCAGGGCAAACACTGATAAATTACTATATAAATACCGGTAAACGTGACGTGACTGGACTTTACTGGAGTACTGAACTGCAGAGCTCATGCAACATCCACATCGCTGTAATCAAATGCGTTTTAAACTGCTACTTAACCTAAGGTTGCTCCACAAGGACTGTCCCTGTAATAAGTTAACTTTAAGTCAATTTGGACAAAACCGTAGGTCACAAGCATCGGCTAAAGAAATCAAATCAACTAACAGACTTAGCTGGAGTAATCACAATGCATCACATTACATCCTCTTGTTATTTATGGGTCATTCAATTTTTGTATTGAATTTCTGCAGCAAAATAAACGAAATACATGCATTTACTAAACCCAAAAAGAAATAGAAACTGTAGTGTAAAACACAATATACTGTCAATTGTATAAGGTCAGACCTGACACCTAAAATAATGCAGTTTCTGTAATTCCAGTTGATGTTAGTGTTTTTATGATATTGGGCTATGATTGACTAAATGTTCCTGTTGGAAGAGAATATGTGTTAGTGTTTTGGAATAATAATTAGATTTTGAGACATGTTTGCAGTGTTTTGGTAGATGTAGTGTATTGTGTTAGTGTACTATTGTGATTTGAAAATTAGTGTTGGAGTTTAGTTTGCAATGTGTGATTTTGAGCATGAAATTAACTGTTTTGTCAGTTTTGTGTTGTAGGTGTGTTGGTGCGTTAAGAGTTTAGGAAAATTGTTAGAAGTATTGAAAAAATTGTCATAGCACTCGTAAAAAAATGTATTAGAACCTACTAAACGTCTCATTTTAACATGCCCCCACATGTCTACGTCACGATGTGGGAAGATTAGCATAACGCCGCCCAAATGTTCATGCAAAGAAAGAAGGTGTAATTTTTATTCTCGCTGTAGTATTGTTGTTGCCGCCGCCACCATGTCGTGAAGGAGCTGTGTGTTTCGATTTGAAAGCGAAACTACTTTGTTTGGCCGTCCAAAAGAAGACACAACGAGAAATCAGTGGTTAAGTTGTATTTACAACACTGTTCCAGAACAGTTCACCCCAAATATTCAGATGTGTGCAGCTCATTTTCTCCAATCACAAATGCAGACATGGTTTTAAGTTTACGCAGCGCCACTCGTAAAAAGACAGTATAAGTCATTATAATCAGTAATTTTGTCCCCACTGGATGCAACAAATGGCTCGTTTGTAATGGGTTTTATTGGGTTTATCTCGTCGTGCCGGGAGACGGCATCACAGTATGGTAAGGGTCGTAACATTTCCATCACATGCTTGAGGCATTCGGCCAATCACAATGCACTGGATAGCTGGCCAAACACCTCGCTTTTCAGAACGATGAGCTTTGTAAAAATCGACGCGTTTCAGAAAGGTGGGGCATAGAGGAGCAACAATAATGTACATTATGTGGAAAATAATGTGTTTTTTTAACCTTAAACCGCATGAACACATTGCATTACACCAAATACACAAAATAATGTTCTTTTTAGCAACGTCATACTACCCCTTTAAAGAACATAACGTCTCGGTTACATACGTAACCCTCGTTCCCTGATGGAGGGAACGGAGACGTTATGTCGATGACGACATTAGGGGATTCACTTGGGAGCCCCAATCA